TCATCATCATCATCATCATCATCATCATCATCATCATCATCATCATCGCCAATGTTGTTTACCCCCGCATCTGAGACAGAAAGGAACTTTGAACAATAGGGACCGTTGTTCAGCAACTAGGAATGGCCAATCAACTGCCAGTACAGTATAGAATTGAACACATCCCTGCTGATTTCACAGGAATTTAGCAAAGGTAGTGGTCAATCTGACATGACATGCTGAAAGATGGAGTCAAGGATTCGGGGAACATGTTACGTTGATTGCATGCAAGGTGTATAGTTAATATACATATAATAGAATAGAGTAGAGTCAAAGAGGGTGTTCCTAGGCCTGGTTCGGGTTCCCAGATGAGTTGTGTGCGTTCTCTGCCTCAACTCCCACCTCCACAGCTTCAGTGCTTTCTAGGTTTTGCGGTGCATGAGGCTCCCGCTGGGGCAGCTGTTTCTCGACACAAGACCAAACTCTCTAAGTCATGCATGGACATATGGTCGAAGAAGCAAGGACGCTACGAACGGAACAAGTGCATCGCTTCTAGTAACAAGTGCCTTACTAGTAGTAACAAGAGCATCAGCCAGGGATTCTCAGCCGAGATGTCTTTCAATCAGCCATCGGCGCCGGCGTCCCGACCCGCCAGGTTCGGACACATGGTCGACCATTGAATTCTAAGAGCTTTTTGTTACTAGTAGTAAGGCACTTGTTACTACTAGCGAGGCACTTGTTACTAGTAACAAGAAGCTAGTATGTGTTCTCCCAGTTCAACCACTAAGGATGATATCTTTTCTTCTTCAGCACCGAAGGGTGCTTCTTCTTCAGCGGTGCGGTTCGCCGCTCCTCGGTGATCATGGCATCGTTCTCCGCACCTGAGGAGGTCAAAGGAACTGGGGCATGGAATATCCTGGCTCAAAGCCTAGGATTGTAGGCTTATAGGATGCCTATGGGTGCCTGGCTGATGCAAAGCCATAGCTGCATCAATCATGCAAAGCTCCTGTCACATGCCTTTGATTCCACTTCAATCCTCTTCACCTGAGCCCCCACACCGGAGAACTGCGCTGTGCTCCTCCCCGTCCGTCGCCCCGGGTTCCGTGCGTCCGTTCCGTACAAAAACCATCAAAAAACCACTTCGGCACCGGCGCCGGGCGACCTCATCGTATAGTCACCTCTTAAGAGGCCTAAGATGGCCTAAGTGACCGCATCCTTTAAGTTCGGCCTCAAGTTCGACTTCAAGTTCGGGCGGATAGCTCCAAAGGACCAACATGTCAAGGTCCAGTTGGAGGCCTTGACAAAAAGGTGGGATAAAAAGAAAACTACTGTAAACATATCTTGAGAGACCCTTGGCCCTCACCTGGCAAATAGCCTCCATGCCGGTGCGCACACCCACCAAGCTCCAAAAAGGTATATCTTTTGAACGTTTTTGTCCATGGCCATGCCCCATGGCCTGAGGCCTTCAGAACTGCTCATGGGATGCATCCCTCCACCGAGCGAGGGCACAGGTCCCGTCCTGTCGTTTGGAGCGATCACCTCGCCCACCTCTATCGCCTGCCGGCGCCAGTGGGCCTCTGTATACTGCACCGACGTTGAAAAACGATTGGCTGGGTGGCTCGGAGATGTGGTATCAAATTATGACACACTGGAAATTTCACATGGAACCTGAAAACCACGTCGGGTTGTAGAGGAAATCGTCTTCCAAAGGTCCTTTTTCAGGCCCGGTGTAAGTGGTTGATGGGTTGGGAATCACTTGACTCAGCACCTGCACCTGTGAGAGGGCAACATGTGAGGATTCATGCAAAATTGCTAGGGGTCTGGCCCAATCTGGCTTCATCCTGTGAGGCCTCTTGAGTCTGGGAACATGCACTTGACACATAGATGCTCGTCAAATACGTTCAACTGAATAGTAACCATGATCACACAAGTAAGAAGCAATTGTGCATGTAGGATCATGGAGGCGCTTTTCCCCGACGTCCTTCCTTCGCCACATCAAAGGTTAAACAATACTTCTGCCACACTCTCCAGTGAAATAACACATTTCGACTATGCGTCCACTCAGGAAGTTGGAAGGACACAAGGAGTCCAGACCAGGTGAACATGGTCTTTTCGCAGGGGTCCAAGCACCTGCTGAGAAAGGTGGTTGGGGTATGTTGGGGTGGTTTTGGATGGTCTAACCACCTGAGATGATGGTTGGAGCCCTAGGGTTTCCCACCTCCCTGCTACATCCACCATTTCATCTGCAGAGTTCGTACCTCTGCCTCCACCGGCTCCACGGGCTCCACCGGCTCCACAGGCTCCACCGGTGCCACAGCGGGCGACGCCTCACCTAGGCCCAAGCAGCTGGACCAAGTGTCCAGTGGTCCGTCTCCGGCGTCCTTGAGAGGTGCCAAAACGAAAAGCCCAGCTGTTCGAGTCCAAGGGCCACCTGTGGGTGGAAGGAGACCACTCAACCAGCCGCAACCTGCCTCAGCCGTCCTGAGCCGTCCGAAGTCTGACGTCTCTGCCCCGACCTCGCTCTGTCCGCTGCTCCGCCGCTTCTCCGCTGTTCACGTCCACTGGGACGTCCTGGACCGGAGCTGTGGCTCCGCTCCGAGTCCGCTGAGGGCCCGCGGTTGGAGGTTGTGATGGGGTGTAGCTTCTGAGATCTTCTATCTGGGACTTGGAGAGGTTTGTATAAGTGTTCCATCGTGCAGGTGATGTCTGAGGCCCTATGATTTGGCATCTGCACAAGAGTATACAAGAGTCAAAAGGACATCCCCCCCAAGAACAATTCCAAAGCTTGAAGCAATTGGTCAGAGTTGCTACGAAGTCATTTGAGTTGGGCCTGGGGATTCCACCCTTTAAGACACATCCTGGATCATCCCGGCGGTGGACATTGGCTTCTGGAATCAAGCCATGCACGATGGTGGAGCAATGCGCGCCTTTATGTGTTTTTTCGTGCAGAACACGGTGATCACTCACATCAGTTGATCACTCGTGTCGTGTGAACACGGTGGAAGCCTTGCTGAATCCCAACGTAGTACAGTGCAGTGAGGAAATGCCCTCTCACCGCTTTTAATAACTGAGATCAAATAACTCCACCAAATACAAATCCAACAGAGGT